CAGTGATGCATATTAATTAGAGTTATCAGATAGTGACTTTAAAGAAACTATGATTAATATGTTCAAGAAAATAAAGGAAAAGATAGAGAATTCCAAAGAACTGGAATCTGTTAAGGGATGAGTCAAATGGAAATCCTAGAACTAAAACAATAAAATTATTGAAATTAATAATTAACAGATGGGTTCAAAAGCAGATTAGATATAGCCAAATAGAAGATAACAAAGCATAGAGGAAAAACAATGAAAAATGAGGGGTGAGGGGGAGAGCATAAGAGGTTTATACCATATACATGGTAAATACATCCAGCATATATATCATTGGAGTCCCAGCTGGAGAGGAGAGAAATAATGAGATAGAAGCAATTTTCAAAGAAATACAGCCTGAGAATTTTCAAAAAATGATGAAAGACATCAAGCCACAGAATAAAGAACTTATACAAACATATACAAAATATGTAATAGCATTGTCTAAAAAATGTACATACTTTAATTTAAAAAATACTTTATTGCAAAAAATGCTAACCATCATCTGAGCTTTCAGGGGTCACAGATCACTGTAACAAATATAATGATAATGATAAAGTTTAAAAGATTGTGAGAATTACCAAAATGTGACATAAAACACAAAGTGAACAAATGCTGTTGGAAAAAAAATGTCACTAATAGGCTTGCTCATCACAGGGTTGCCACAAACCTTCAATCTGTAAAAAATGCAGTATCTGCAAGGTGCAATAAAGCAAAGAGTAATGAAATGAGGTATTCCTGTGCAGCAATACATCTTAAACATAAGGATACAGTAAGAAAAGCTATGTGGCAGGTTTAAAACATAGCCACAAATCCTTTGATTCTCCTCAGTAAAGGTGGGGGTTTAATTCCCCTCCCCAGTTTGGACAGGTTTATGACTCCTTCAGCCAATAGTGTATGGCAGAAGTAACACTCTGGTTTTCAAGGCTAGGTCATAAAGGCTCTGCAACTTATGCCTTGTTTGATGAAGCACTCACTCTTGGAGCTCTGAGCCTCTTTGTAAGAGTGTGACCACCCTGATCCTTACATGCTATAAGAAAGTCCAAGCTACATAGAAAGGACATGGGCAGGCACTCTAGCAGCTCAGTCTCGAGTTAGCCTGGTCCAAGTACAAGATGTGTGTGTGAAAAAAATGTCCAGATGATTCTAGCCCCCAACCATTTAAGTCTTTCCAATCACCATTCCAGACATTGTAAAACAGAGAGAAGGCATCTCTGCTAAGCTCTGTCCAAATTCCTGACCCATAAAACCTCTGAGTTGTTGGTTAATGCCACTGTTTTGGGGTGCTTTGTTATACAGCAACAGATAAGTGGAAAACCATTGAAACTAAAAGGATGGATGGAAAAAGATACACCAAGCAAAGATTATTCAAAAGCAAAATGGTGTATCTAGACAAGTATCAGACAAAGTAAACTTTAAGGCAAGCAGTTTTATTACATTACATTTCCTAATGATAAAGTGGTTGGTTCAACAGAAAGATATAGCAATATTAAATGTGTGCACACATAATAACACAGCTTCAAAATATATAAAGCAAAAACTGACAGAACTAAGGGAGAAAAATATAGATCTGCAAGTATAGTTGGAGATTTTAACATAGGTCTTTGAGCATATTTTGAAGGACTGACATTATTCAGAGTATATTCTCTGATAACAGTGAAATTGTGCAAGAAATCCAAAATAGATAACTAGAAAATCCCTAGATGTTTAGAAATTAGGAATATACTTTTCTAATTAACCTATAAGTCAATGTAAAAAAAAAAAAAAAAACCTACATTAAAATATCAAGCTTCTAGCCAACAACAACAAAATACCATTAATAAAGAGAAAAGGCAAATCACAGGATGGGAGTAGATATTTGTAATACATATGGAGATTAGAAAATACCCTTAACTGAGTGGCAATAAAAATAACATCAAAAATTATTGGAGGCAACTAAAATAGATATAATGAGAAACAACCCACTATACCCACCAGAATGCCTAAAAAAATTTTAACTAACAATACCAAGTGTTGTCAAGGATATGGAGGAACTAGAATTCTCACATACTGCTGGTGGATATGTGAACTGGTACAACCACTTTGGAAAATTCTTTGGAAGTATTTATTATAACATGTACATACCCTAAGACACAACAACTACACTCCTATTATACCCAACACAATGTCCACTAACAGTAGAATGAATGGGCTCTCTGCTCCTCCACATTTGGCAGACAGCCACTTCTGGTGCAATGCCAGCCACATTCCCCAAGACACAATGGTGAAGGTCCAAGTAAACAGATTTGGCCATATTAGGTGCCTGGTCACTAGGGCTTTTAATTCAGGCAAGGAGAATATTGTCACCATTAATGACCCCTTCATTGACCTCAACTACATGATTTACCTGTGTTGGTATGATTCCACCCATGGCAAATTCAGTAGCACAGTCAAGACTGAAAACAGGAAATTTGTCATCCATGGAAAGTCCATCTCCATCTTCCAGGAGCAAGACCCCACCAACACCAAATGGGGTGATGCTGGTGCTGAGTATGTTGTGGAGTCCACTGGCGTCTTCACCACCATGGAGAAGACTGGGGCTCACTTGAAAGTGGGATCAAGAGGTCATCATCTCTGCCCTTCTGCTCATGCCCTCATGTTTGCGATGGGCATGAACCATGAGAAGTATGACAACTCCCTCAAGATTGTCAGCAATGCCTCCTACACCACCAACTGCTTGGCCCTCTGGCCAAGGTCATCCATGACAACTTTGGCATCATGGAGGGACTCATGACCACAGTCCATGCCATCACTGCCACCCAGAAGAAGTAGTCCCTCTGGGAAGCTGTGGCATGATAGCCAAGGGGCTGCCCAGAACATCATCCCTGCTTCTACTGGTACCACCAAGGCTGTAGACAAGTTCACCCCAAGCTGAATGGGAAGCTCACTGGCATGACCTTCTGTGTCCCTGCCCCCAAAGTGTCAGTTATGGATCTGACCTGCTCCCTGGAGAGAGTTGCCAAATATGATGACATCAAGAAGGTAGGGAAGCAGGCATCCTGGGCCACACTGAGGACCAGGTTGTCTCCTGCAACTGTAACAATGACACCCACTCTTCCACCTTCGATGCTGGGGCTGGCATTGCTCTCAGTGACCACTTTGTCAAGCTCATTTCCTGGTATGACAATGAATTTGGCTACAGCAACTCAGTGGCAGACCTTATGGTCTACGTGGCCTCCAAGGAGTAAGAGCCCCCTGGACCACCAGCCCCAGCGAGAGCAAGAGGAAGAGAGACACCCTCAGCTGCTGGGGAGTCCTTGCCCCAACTCATCCCCCAACACACTTAGAATCTCCCGACCTCTACACAGTTTCCATCCCAGACCCCCTGAAGTAGGGGAAGGGTTTGGGGAGCCCTATCTTGTCATGTACCATCAATAAAGTATACTGTACCCAGCCAAAACACACACACACACAGTAGAACGAGTGAGTAAATTGTATGATTTATTCATACAATGGAATACCACTCAACCATGGAAAAGAAATGAACTACTAACACATATAACAACATGGATGAATCTTGCAAAGATAATGCTAACTGAAAGAAGGCAGACATGAGAATACATACTTAATAATCCAAAAACTTGTCTATGGTGATGTAAGTCAAAACAGTGGTTACTTTGCAGTGAGACTGGGGAAAAAATTGACTGGGAAGGGATATGAGGGAAGCTTCTAGAATACTAATCATATGCCATATCTTGATCTAGATACGATTATATAAGCGTATACTTTGTAAAAATCAGTCAAGCTACTCACTTAAGATTTGTGCATTTTACTCTTATTTATGTTAGACTTTAATTTTTTTTAGTTTTTTAAAAAGCAAAGGGATAATAGACACAAAATTCAGGAGAGTGGCCACTTCTGAAGGAGAGGCCATGGAATGGGATAGGAAAGAAGTATACAGTCACTTTAACTTTACATTCGTGATGCATACAAATACTCTTTTGTATATATCAAATATTACATTAAATGTAATAAAAATTCTTTTAGTAAAAACAAATTATTCAAATAGTTTAAACCCATGTGCTAAACTCAGGAAGAATTTTTTTTTTAAAGATTTTTTATTTATTTATTTGAGAGAGAGAATGAGAGAGAGAGCATGAGAGGGGGGAGGGTCAGAGGGAGAAGCAGACTCCCCGCTGAGCAGGGAGCCCGATGCGGGACTTGATCCCGGGACTCCAGGATCATGACCTGAGCCGAAGGCAGTCGCTTAACCAACTGAGCCACCCAGGCACCCTCAGGAAGAATTTTTAAGGTAAAATTAATATAAATGACTTTCAGTGATATTCAAATACAGGAAGACAATGCATTAATGTAGTGAGTGTCTTCCTAGCATGGTGCTGGTTGTACCTTCAAGAGCTCCCTCTGCATGAGCTAGAGCAGTAAGAATGGCAGGCATTCTTGAGCATGTACTGTCTATTGGGCACTGTTGTGAATGCTTTACATGCATCTAATTGTCACACAACCCTATGAAGCCATACTGTTATCACCCCAATTTAACAGATGGGGAAACACACACAGGGAGTTCAAGTGATTTGCCCACGGCCTCACAGCAAGCCAGAGAGCCAGCATTTGAAGGCTGGTTTGAATTGCCGTCTGGTTTCAGAGCCTATTCGTTTCACCTCTGCACTGCTCTGCCTCTTGGAAGAAGCATGTCCCCGATTTCTGAAAGTTCTCAACCGTACCCGACTCCTGACAAGGCCTGAAATCGAGTTCCAGAGTTTTATAACACCTGCCTCAGAGAGAGGGGTGTTGTGATGTGCCCGTAATGACAACAACAATGCATTACAGTGTCATTACCGCCAATAACAATAACAATAAACATTAAGCCCACACGGTATTACATTACAGAATAGATTTAGAAGTTGCCATGATTGAACAGTTACCGTGTTTCTTAATTTCAGACCTTCGCTAAGAAAGAAGTAACCCGGATAAATTACCTTTTCTCTCTGAACTCTCTCCTGTCCTTTCCCGGCTTATGGCCCCCACCACTTTAAACGATGCATCCGATTTATTCATGATGTGTGTCTTCCCTCTCCTCCAGGAGGATAGGATTCGTTTTTGATTCTTCCTTGCCTCCTTGTGGTACACATTACTTAGACGTAGTAGGTGCTTAGCAAATATCCCTGTCGGGAGTGTATGCATGACAAATAAATAAAAATTAGGTCAAACACCCCAGTACTTTGTAAAAGCTTCCACATATCTCTTGACCTTGCCCATCATATTCACTGCTATATTCCCAGGGCTTCGAGAAGAACCTCTAAGTTGTAAATACTAAATACCTGTAAATGTTGGTTGAATGAATGAAAATATGAAGGATAGATAATTCGCCCACATTGTAAAGTAGCTGTAAACCATTCCTCATCTCTGTGAAAGGTCTCACTGACACGCTGGATGGGTGGTCGACACGTCTATCAACTCAGAGGAATAAGGAATATGCTGCTGCACTCTGCTGCGTCTTGATGATGGAATGAATGAGTTTACAATGGAGCAATGGGTACCCGGCTTGAGAGAAAACTGCACACACTGGCCCAACCACGTGGCAGTGGTGGTGGTGCCCTGTCCACAGGAATTGCAGCAAGCAGTTCTTATCACGCAGTCCTGGAGAGGATGAGGATGAATGTACACGTCTTGAACGTCTTTGAGAATTTTTTGTTTTCCAGCTTGGTTGAGATATAATTAACATACTACATTGTTTCAGTTTAAGGTGACGGACTTACCTATTACAAAATGCAATGTATACCACCGTACTGTGAGCTAACAGCTCCATCTTGTCACTTCATTACCATTTCTTTTGTGGTGAGAACATTTAAGACCCACTCTCTTGGCAAACTTCAAATACACGATACAGTATTTTAACTAATTGTATTAACAATAGTTAACTAACAGCATTTTAATATGCTATAAATTAGATCCTTAGAACTTATTCATCTTATATCCAGAAGTTTATACTCTTTGACCAGTATCTCCCCAATTCCCCGACTCTGCCAGCCCCTGTAACCACCATTCTAGTCTCTGTTTTTATGAATTCAGCTTTTTTTAGATTCCAGACATACATGAGAGCATACTTCATTTGTCTTCTCTGTCATTTTTTTTACTTAGCATAATGCTCTCAAGGTCCATCCATGTTGTTCCAAATGGCAAGCTTTCCTTCTTTCTCATGGCTAAATCATATTCCATTGTACATATATATATACACCACGTTTTTACCCATTCATCCACTGATGGTCACTTAAGTTGTTTCCACATCTTGGCTACTGTGAATAATGCTGCAATAAACAGGAGAGTGAAGACATTTCTTGGAGATCCTGTTTTTATTTCTGTTGGATACATACCCAAAAGTGGCACTGCTGGATCATCTGGCAGTTCTATTTTTAATTTTTGAGGCACCTCCATAGTGTTTTCCACACTTGCTGCACCAATTTACATTTCCACCAACAGTGCCCAAGGCTTCCCTTTTCTCTACATCCCCCCCCACCACCACCACCACCAATGCTTGTTATGTCTTGTCTTTTTGATGATGGCCATTCTAACAAGAGTGTGGTCATATCTCTCATTGTGGTTTTGATTTGCATTTCCCTGATGATTAGTGATGTTGAGCATCTTTTCATGTACCCGTTGGCCATTTGTTCGTCTTCTTTGGCAAAATACCTATTCAGTTCCTCTGCCAATTTTTTAATTGGATAGTTTGGGTTTTTTTATTGTTGTTGTTGGTTTGGTTTGGTTTGTTGTGTGGGTTTGTTTGATTTTGGGGTTTTTTTGTGTGTGTGATAGAGCTGTCTGAACTCTTTTGGATATTAACCTCTTATCAGATATACGATTTGCAAATATTTTCTCCCATTCAGTAGGGTGCCCTTTCATTTCACTGGTGGTTTCCCTTTGCTGTGCAGAAGCTTTCTAGTTCGATGTAGTCCCATTTGCTTATTTTAGTTTTTATTGCCTTTGCTTTTGGTGTCAAATCCAAATAAAATCTAGGTCATGGAGCTTACTCCCTATGTTTTCTTCTAGGAGTTTTAAGGTTTCATGTCTTACATTCAAGTCTTTAATCCATCTAGTTGATTTTTTCGTATGGTGTCTGCTGAGGTCCTGTTTCATTCTTCAGAATTTTGTCTAGTGAGAAGTCATCTAGACTGGGCGTCAAGGTCCATGATAGGGTCAGAGGAAGAAGTTCTCTTCTTCAGTCTTTCCTGCTCCACTTCCATCTCTTGATTTCTTTGGTGTATTATTCTATCAACTGGGAAAGCCTGTGATGGCCCTTTTAAATATGAAACATCACCACTCAGAGTGAGCTCTGCCTTGGGGCGGCTCTGGAACAGCCATTTGAGGAAAGACTGTTCTTTCCTTCCTTAAAAAGCAGGCCTTGTTCTCCTGGGCTGGAAGCTCCACCTTCTTCCTGACTCCTCCCCTGCCCTTCACCTCCTACCCAGCTCCTCCTTCCAGCCCAAAATACAGCTGTGTCGTCTCCTCTTCTCCCTACCCCGCCTTTCTTTCTGGCCTGCAGTGAGGGGAAAGCCAGAGTTTGATCTCAGAGCAGAAAGAATCCACAAAACAACCCACAGAGCCTAGAAGAAAAGCGCTGGAACAAAGTGTTTCTTAGCGACTCGCTCAGGACAGTGATCAGAACCTGACACCCTGGTCCAGTTTGTTCGTTCATATCCTTTTGTTGCAGAAGACCAGGTTCTGACCAACCTGTATTTTGAGGTCTGACCCAGGGCATCGCTTAGCAATGCCCTGAGCTTCTGCGCCCTCCCTACCACCATTCCCTTGGCTAAGTGACATTCGGGGGCTGCCAGGGGGCATGCGAGGAGAGCTGGGGAAACAGCTCACTCTCTGGGACTCGGAACCCAGTGTCCGAGAAATGCCATCCAGAACACCTCCTGGTGTTCTCGAGGCGTCTATTTGTTCGTAACATTCTGGGTGAGTTTTTAGGGCACCTGTCTCAACCAACTTCGGGCCTCTTCTTCCAGTGCCTTCCATCTTGGTCTGTCGTCTCAGGCTCTCGCTCCCTCCCCAGCCCTGGGCACCGTGGCTCCGTCGGTCACTCGGGAGGTCTACCTCTGTGCGCCACAGACCTCGCGCTCCGGCCGCCCAGCCTCGCGCGCGCTCCCGGGGCCGCGGGAGAGGCCTGAGCGCGCGCCCGGCCGCGCCGGCGCTTTCATCCCGATCCAGGTGGCGGCGATCCAGTACAGGATTTACGGGGCCCTGACCCTGAGCCGTCAAGAAGGAACAGCCAGATTAATGGGGTGGGCGGGCTGGGGTAATAATCGTTTGTTTGATGTGACACGCCTGATAGGCGTTGATTTACTTACAGACTGATGGGCTTTTAATTGAGCACCTCCATCCCAGTCACTTCAAAGGCAGGGGAAGTTGACAAGGGGCCCCTTTCACCGAGGGTTCCCGGTGACTGACAGCCCCCCTCCGCCGACGCTCGGCTCGGCCCAAGATTGGGCCCGGCGGCCCCGGCCCGGCCCTCTGGCGAAGTAACACGTTTTCGGTGTAACTCAGAAATGGCCTTCTGTCTGCTGCCGGCGGGGGCAGGCCCCGCTCGGCAGGCCGCGCGGCTCGCGGGCGGGCGAGGGCCGGGGGCGGCGGGTGGCCGCCCCGCTCTCCCCGCCCGTCGCCGGCCCGGCCGGCCCCCGCCTCCTCCCGGCCCGCCCCGCTCCCTCCCTCTTCCCACACCCGCGCTCCGCTCGACCCTCCCGCCCCCTCCCACCCCTCCTCTCTCGCCTCCCACTTCCTCCTTCCTTCTCCGTCTCAGGAAAGGCCCGAAAAGTGGAGTCGGCGCCTGCGGTCCCTGGAGGGGCCCGTGAACACCGGTCCCCTCCTGTCCCCCGGACAGCCACGCTGCCCCTGTCGGGCCTTCAGCTCGGGGCACCCTCGGCCTGGGAGGCCAGGCCTCCAGGGAAGGGGCAGGGGCCACAGACCTCCGTGACGAAGGTCCAGCAGGACTTCCAGCCCATTCTCCTTTGGTCCAGAAGAGGCTTTCATAATTTCGGCTTTATTCTGCTTGAAATACTAGGAAACGTCCTTTATCAGGGAAGTTCTGTCAGAATGGATTTGTTTTGGTTTTGTTCGTTTGCTTTGTGTTGTTAAGTCCTGATTTCCTGGCTGCTGAACTTTACTTGGGCGGGGAAGAAGACATGCCCATAGCCCTCCCGCGATGTCTGCTCACCTGCAGCTGCTGGGCTGGGGTCCAGGGAGAGGGCGCCGGGAGTAGTGGGGGCTAGGACCCCACCCCCACCCAGGGGGCCGAGTCCCTGAACTCTAAGGGTGGGGCCTCCAAGCTTCCTCACTGGGGTGGGGGGGGTGATTGAGACCCCCTTGGAGGAGGAGCTTCAAGTTCTAAGTCAAGCCACTCTAGTGACTGCCCAAGACTGGGCAAGGCCCCTCCCCTGTGTATTTCTCTTTTTCCCCTGGAATGACATGTCCCTTTAACTGTGTGAGGTAATAAGTGTGTTGTCCTTATGCCCATGTAGACAGATGATGAAACTGAGACTCAAAGGATAATGTGCCCCCAAGAGGCAAAATCACGTCCCAGATTCAGGTATCCTCCCTCCAAGTCAGCTCCTTCGTTCACGGCACCTCGCTGTATCCCAGAGACTCTTGTCCCATTCCTTTTGAAGCTGCTTTTGTGGTTAATTCTTGTTTCCCTCCCTTGTTTTCTCTTTTCAGGCCCTCCCCTGGCCCTTTACCCTCCTGGTCTGGGTATCCAAGGACAGAGCCTCCAGCCTAGCTTTGGGAGGCCAAACATCTCCCTTAGTCTCTGCCCCAGAAGCCACTTCCAAGCCTTCCTGAGAGCATGATGCTCCCTTAAGATCTGCTGCCCCCAGCTCTCCTCCAGTGTCCATATATGAAATGGCCATAGGAGAGGCCCCTGTGCATTGTGTTCTCCACTATTCAAACCCATTCACTGAAGTTGTCCACTGCCTATCATCTCGAAGCCAAGAAAGCACGTGTTTCTCCTGACCTGCCGGAGGGGTAGTTGGTACTGCGAGCTGAGCCCTAGGACAGAGGCTTCAGAGGAACTAATCAGCTCTCCCTTCTCTGCCTCTGTGCCTGGGAACGGATTTCCACCGATGCACTCTGATGAATACCGCAAGATGTGGTCTGTTTACAGTCGGTGTCCTCACTGGAGTCCAGTCCTCTAGGACAAGTACGCATCTTTTCATCTTATATCCCCAGTGCCCAACACTGAAATTTCTTTGAAACGTGTGTTGCTGAAATGGTTGTCGAAAAGCAATATAGAGTCGGGGTGACATCAGATAGCCTGGGATCACATTCCCAGCTCCACTGCTTGTCAGCCACACAGCCTTCAGAGAAGTCATTTAAATTTTCTATGCCTCCATTTGCTCATCTGTAAAATGGGACAAAAAGAGCACCTACCTTGTAAAGTTATTGTGAGGGCTGAACGGGTTAATAACATATCTCATCTAATCCACAATGCACTGGGATTTTAGATCCAGCAAGGAAAGAAGAAAAGGCTGTGACATGATGCTTTATATCAATGTCAGAGATGTTTAAAAATGTTTTAAATGTCTACATGAAACCCTTAGAGGGGCGCCTGGGTGGCTCAGTCACGTAAGCGTCTGCCTTCGGCTCAGGTCATGATCCCCGGGTCCTGGCATCAAGCCCCGCATCGGGCTCCCTGCTCAGTGGGGAGTCTGCTTCTCCCTCTTCCTCTCCTCCTTGCTTATGTTCTCTCTCTCTCTCAAATAAAGAAAATTAAATTAAAATAAAAACACTTAGAAGAGTAGCTACTGCCATTGTTGAAATGCATTCTCCCAAAAGCCCCATGATGAGTGAGTTAATCCTCACTTTACAGATGAGGAAACAGAGATTCAGAGAACTGAAAGAGCTTGACCAAGCTCACAGGGCCAGTGAACCCTCGGCAGGCATTTAAAACCTGCCTTTGAGGTGCAGTAATCCACGGTTATTACAATAGCTGGCAGTCGCCCACCACGCTACCAGGGAGTTGGGAGCTGGGTTTTGTTCTCAATTGCATTAGCTTTCCTTAATCTAAATTTCTTACCCCTCTGGTATAGTAACTCTGCTTCTTCCTCCCCCTCCTCCTTCGTACTTGGCTCTGATCTTGTTACTTTTCTGTTAAGGGCTTCAGGTTCTACTGTATCTGCGATTTAAATTGTAAGCGACCTCCTATCTTTTATGGAGGTAGGAGGGGTATAAATAAATATAAAGGTCAAAATTAGCTTTTGAAGATGACATGTAGCAAGAAACAGTGAGAGAGAATATGGCCACCATCGCACGTGGGTATGTATATGTGGACACCTGGGGGACTGCCCAAAATGCTCCCTCCAATGATTCCCCAGAGAGACTCTGATGCTCGGTGTCCTGATGCAGTGCAGAGCTCAGCGGGCCCCTTGATGTGGCGGATCTGTCACACCAGACTCTGTTTTTTCCCATAACCCAATGAGACACTACCGAGTGGAAAGGCAGAGGAGCTTGGGAAGCTACGGGGGCTGGAGGCAGTGAACTTTTCTAGTACCTTCTCTGGCTCTCCTTGGTACCCCCCCCCCAAAAAAAGAAGCATCTACTTGAAAGAGTATAACTTTCTAGCTCACTACTGCAATGAGTCTGAGGCAAAGGAGAGCATCCAATGAGCTCCTAACCAAAGCAATGTAAAAGGTGTATCGCTGCTTTCAATATCAGAAAGGGAACCACCAAGATATATTTTGTTTGGAGTTTTGCAGTCTCCCCACAGCCCTCGTGGCAGCCCAGGATCCACAGCTGTCAAGGTCACAGAAAGATGCCACTTGCCACTTCTGCCCTCCATTTCCCTACACGAGGAACCCCAGGATTCTACCTCTTCTGCCCAGCTCATAATACGTTAAAAGGTAATGGTTAGAATAGGGCATAGCATCGTACTGGGGTTTTGCTTCCCAAGTAGGGAGGCCATGGGCCAGCTAGAGGGTCATATTTGTGAATTTGCTTGGGTTTTTCAGGATGGGATCTGGGTGGAGAGGGCTTTTCCAAAACTTCTCTCAACTCTCCCACAGGCTCTGAGACCTGTTGGAGCAGAGCAGAGCCGAAAGCTGGGTGAGCAAAGGAGTTTGAGAAGGACGATTGCATGGGGAGCTTCGCTGGCGGCGGCAGGGAGAACATGCCATCCCTCAGTACCCCTGAATGGAGCCTACTATTCTTCCTCCAAGACTGAATAAAACGTATTCTGTGCTCAGATCCACGAGACAAAGAAGGAACATATCAACAAAGGCGGGGAAAGACGAAAATGGTTGTTCAGCGATTCATTCACGCAAGCGTAGTTCATCTCCAAGGCGTCCAAGGAAGCAACTGCGCACCAAATCCCTTCCAACGCTGTCTGTATCTGAGCCTCCTGTGAAATAATCCTCTTAATGGAATATTTAAGAAATCGGATATAAATCACCAACCTTTCATCTCACCTGAAGATCCACACTCCATAGGGCGGATGGTGTATACGTCTATCTGCATATGGATGGTTGCAGGTGCCTTTGTGAGTGGATGTTGCTATGTTTTTAGGCTCCTTATGCTTTTCAATATCTAAATCTATTTTTTTTTCTGAAATAGGGGTGTAAAATTATAAATCTTAGAGATCAGAGCCCAGAAAACAGCTGCACCTAGAGACAATTAAAACACACATCCCTAGGAAAAACCTTTTTTGTCATTTGCAACCAACAAAAATGCCTATTATTATGATGTGCTCATAAATAACTTGAGTTTGGCGTATGCTTTTGTACCAAACAGAAGATGAATAAATTAAATTTGATTTACAACCTTTTTTCATTTTTATTAGCACTGCTCTGAAGAGTTTATGTAAGGGACTTGCCAGAGCAGTTATGCCAAATGTTTTAAGGCGTTGATATTGATATTATATAAATTAAGGTGTTTTAATTTGCATTCTTTAATTAACTAAATACTGGCAGAAAAATAAAACACAAGGGCAGCCCTGACTTATTGCCTCTATTAAACTGCTGACATCTCTGAAAAGATGCTTTAAGTAATCCAATTCATGCAGAGCGGGGGAGGAAGGGGTATTAACACTCTGATTTAGCAAAATACATTGGGGTTTAAGAAACCAATATCCTGTTTTGCTTGCACAGTGGTTGAGGTGGTGCGTGTGTTCTAAGAAGGTCTGCATCCGTGTCCCCAAGGAAGAAGGGGTCAATGTTTTAACTCTGCATCCTGCCCAGGTCTGAGCTGAAGGGTCAAGGGGGAGCCCAGCCCTGCCACTGGGTATAAGCAAGCTCCTGGGTGCAGGGCCCTGCAGACCTGGGCTGTATCACTGCCGGTCTAAAAAGAGACAAGCTGGTTGAATTAATCCAGTGGATCCCATGTCAACATGATCATGTCCAAAAACCAAGGAAAGAAAGAGTCAAAGATCCTTCAGCACAGTAAGCTGCCTCTGATCCATGCTTCCCATCACACGCAGGCCCCAAACAAAAACAAAAACAAACAAACAAAAAGTCTTTCTAAAAAGATGGGCCAGGAGTATTTCAATTCCTTTCCATGCTCTGGGTCCTGTCGCCAGCTCCAGAGACTTTCTTAAAATTCACTCTTAGGGTGAGGACAGTAGCTTCTTTCTCGTCCAAGTTAGAATGAACTTTTCCCTAATTTCCCTTCTTTGCTCTTAATTTTTGCTCTCTGTTTCTCCTCTCCTGTAGGGTCAGAGTCAACTGTGGTAAGGTCTCAGCTTCTGTGATTCTCCCTCCAGACTTGTAGGGAGGAACAGCTATAAGAAGGAGATCAGTTTCCCGTGTTGGCCGTAGGAGAGAGATTTCTCCTAAAACACAGGGGAGAACATTTTCTTTCTCTTCCCTAAACCCACAGGAAAAGAGCCATCTGTACAACAGCCCATACTGTTCTCTCGCCATTCTGAGGGTGTCCAACTTGCATTCTCTGCCTGGACTGCAAAGCATCATGTCCAGGGCGGGGATCTTGGGGCCTCACAGACACCCACTGAGTTGACTAGAGACACCACACAGGGAGAGGTGGGGCTGGGGAGCAGAGCTCAGCTCTCTCCTGGCCCCCACACTGCCTGTCCACTGGCATACAGCACCGTGTCTTCTGAAAGCCCAGTAAGAAGCAGGTCAAGGGCAAGCCCGAGCAAGCCAGAGCAAGCCAGAGCAAGCCCAATTGTCCAGGCCTCCGAGTCCTGTCATTATGCAATGTCCCTACCCCAGTTTTCTTCCTCGAGGCTTTTCTTGAATTGCTGCAGAAATAAAGGATGAATTCCAACTTTTTCTTTTTTTTTTAGATTTTATTTATTTGACAGGGAGAGACACAGCGAGAGAGGGAACACAAGCAGGGGGAGTGGGAGAGGGAGAAGCAGGCTTCCTGCTGAGCAGGGAGCCCGATGCAGGGCTCGATCCCAGGACCCTGGGATCATGACCTGAGCTGGAGGCAGACGCTTAACGACTGAGCCACCCAGGCGCCCAAATTCCAACTTTTAATAAGGAAAATACCATTCTCCTTTGCCAGCATCCAGTCCCCCCGCCCCACCCCCTCCAAAAAAAAAAAATCGCACTTTCTTGTCGTTTTCCATCTTGCAGCTCTGTCAGTTGTTTTAAAACAACTGTTTTAAAACATGTCTCCTGTCACAAATAAGATTGTCATCATGCATTTTGACTGCAGTGGTGAAAAATTCACCCAGCTTAGAGAGAGGGGAGGGACCTCTGAGAGCCCCTTCAGGCCTGCCGCAGGACAGGAATGAATGAAAGGAAAAGGACACAGTCTACTCATGGTTTTGAACTACTGTACTTTTTCTGGCTGTGGCCATTTGGGCTGTTTGTTTGGTTTTTGTTTTGTTCAATCATTTGTTCATTGATTTCTTTATTTAAGGAAATTAATGAGAAAAATGAAGACAGCCTGGCAGAAACTGGTTGTGTTGAACTTATCAATGACAGGCCCCTGGAGACATGTGAGAGCTGCCTCAGGATACCTGAGGAAAGTTCTTCAAGATGTTAGAATTTTACTTTAGACCTCCTGGAATGTAAATGTATCCCGATTCCAAGAGCTTATCAACACTCTGCCTGGTCCCCACGGTTCTCCCATCGCCACAGGGTCAAGGTTACTAAGGAAAAGTGAGCTTTGACTCAGAGGCCCAGGCCTAGGACCACAAGTGAGGGGACCAGAGTAGTGCTCCTGCTGGGATTCTTGGCAACGAAACGCTGCAACCCTTGTTGAGAAATCATACGTGCATGCCCTTTCGTACCTTTGAATTTTGCAGGTAATACCTCCTCAAAGATAAAAAATAAATATAAAATGAAAATGAAAACTACCTTGGTGAGCACACGACTAACAGTAATTGTTGATTTCATGATTTGATGTCTTGCAATCCTTCACAGTCCTCCTTCTGGAAATTCATGGTTGGGTCTGGAGATAAACCTTGACTGATGCAACCAAAACCATTTTATGCATTGTCTTTGACACAAACCTTTGCCTTTCAGTGAGCATAAACAAGAAAGGTCTAGATGATACACAGTTCTTATTGGGGCTCACTAATTGGAAAGTTGGCTGTATTAAAAGGTGTATTTGCCAATATCTTGGATTCTTTCAGGCCAGACTTGAATATTCGTCTCCTCCTTTTTCTCCTACTGAACGAGGGAGAAGGTGGGAAGGGGAGGAGGCAGGGTCATGAGAAGCATGCTTGTTTTGTTTTGTTTTTAAATCCAAAGATGGAAATGAGCCTTTCAAGTTCTCCACATGAATGTCACCAGAAGGTCCTGGAGGTGTCCCCCATGTTTCCTTGGCTAAGTGTCTCGGCTGAACTTCTAATTCACCCCAATTGTCTCCTCCCAACCCTCTTAAATGGAGTGGGGTTTTTTTGGGACATATGTAGTTTTTGCCCCAGCAATTCTACTCCTAGGAATATCACCCTATAGTTCTATTGGCACACATGGAAAATGATATATATTCTATATATACCCATATACTTATATCTGATAAATCACTGCAGCAGCAAGATTAAAAAGCATCCAAATGTCCACCAGGAGGGGACCAGTCACATAAACTGTGGCACATCTGTGTAACAAAGCCAGGAAACTACAAAATAAGTAGATATGAGGAAATCTCCAAAATATATTAAGTTTTTTCTTAAAAGCAAATGCAGAACAATTTCTTTAATATGTCACCTTTTGTGTACTAAAGAAAGAAGGAATATACACGTATTTGCTAATATAAATACAAAAGATCTCTGGAAAGATGGGCCGTAAACGCCTAGCACTGATGCACTGGGGAGAGAGGCGGGCTGGTGAGAGGGAGGTATTTTCACTGTACATTCTCATGGCTTTGGAATTTGGCGCCATGGGAATGCACTTCGTCATAAATAAATAAATGCATTTTTCAACAAAATAAAAAATAATTTAAATCACGTTCAGAGGGAGTTCATTATGTAAATCCCCACTCCCAAATGGACCACTCGAGTTGGATCCTTCTGACCTGGCCTCTTCGGTTTCCTTCTCTGAGCAAGGCTGGCAGAGGGCCACCGAAACAAAAACGCCTTGAAATTGTTCTGACATCTTGGAATTTGGTTTCATCAAATACAACCAGTGATAAGTGGCCACTGCCGGAGCAGCTCACCCTTTTTTCTCTAATCGTCTCCGTTGAAATGAGTCTGAAGCAGCTCATCCCAGTCGTGGCAAGCTCAGCCCAGAGAGGCGCACACTTTTGGCAAGTTTAAAGGCTTACCTGGCAGAGGGGAGGGACCGGAGACACATCATTCTCACAGTCTGCCACCTGCCAAGCGAGGTCCTCTGGAGGGCCTGGGGTGCCCACTGGTTCCAGCTGGTGGAAACTCAGCAGGCACATTCCCTGCATCTCCTTCAGGGGCCTTCGCTCTACTCCGGGACTCCCCTTATCACTAAGCAAGAGACGGCGCCTGAACACACCTAGGATGGTTTACAGTGGCACCAACAGGTGCTCACTTAATGCTAGTGGGTCTGAATGTAACTTTGAGTAAATGCACTTAAGAACAGTGGGTAACTCAACTACGGGGGACTGAGCAGGATTAAGTTCAGCCCTCCTGACTTCCTTTTTTTCATCAGCAAAGAAGCACACAGATCCTTTCCTTCAGAAGCAAGGGCTGCCCGGCGTTTCAGGAGCTGTGGACTGTGCGTGCTGGCTTGCTCTGGACCTCACCCACCTTGGGGGATCACCTCAGGCCTGTGCCTACCAAGTGATCAATAAACAGTCATTGAATGGATTAATTCAATCCAGTTTCATTAATTAAGTGAATGCTCCCCTCCCTTCTTTCTCTGCCTCCATTGCCTCTCCGCCATCTTGTCCTTCCTAGGGATGAAAGGGAATTCCTGATTAAGAAGACCAGAGCTCTGGAAAACAAGTAAAGTCATTTGTTTTCAGTTTCTCCCTGCTAGAGGCCTCCTTCTCCCTCAGTTCTGCACCCAGTAGATTGGCCCAGGAAGCAACTACTTGGGTTTGAATCCTGGTTCTACCACGTTCTAGCTGTGTACCTGGGGCAAGTTACTTCACAGCTCTGGGCCTCAGCACCTCGCCTATCACACAGGCATAATAATAGTGCCCATCTCAGAGAGTTATCACATGCAAGGAGCTCAGACAGCGTCTAGCACACAGTAGGTGCTCAATAAATGTTATTATCACCCTGGGTGACACACTCACTGTCTGCTAATCATAACTGATGCATTGGCTGACTAGTAAAATAGGAGTATTTGTAATTTAAGAGGAATCCCCAAGAAATGTGAAGGCCCAAAGTTGCAAAGTAGTCAAGGGTGAATGCCCAGGGCTGAGGCTGCTGTATGGGGTGTACGGGGCGGGGCAGAGGAAGGGAGAAGAGCTTCAAAAGCACACCTACTCCCACTGGTCTCCCAGGCCAGCCCTGCCTATCTCCCTGGGGGCTGATAGGAGATAAATGAAACAAACCACTTCTTCAAAGCACCCTGCTCAAGGACCCGGATCAAACACCAGGGCTTAGAAGATAAGCTCCAGCCTACATTTCCTTTGTCCATTCCTTCCCACCACATCTCCAAAGGAAATTCTAGGGGGAGGAAAAGT